ATGAATATGTCGGCTATGATTTCATCTCTGGTCATCACTTTCTTTGCATTCTGCAGTGGTGTCAACTATTAAATAGCCTACGATACAATCTTCTTCTAATTATAGCATGCGTCATTTTCTATTCCCAAGCATCATTACCAGTTAGCTCTCATTTCGTTCATGTTCCGATTGTCAGTTTGTCACGGTTCTGCTCCCCCCCCCCCGCTTCTCTCACTCTCTCCCCTCCCCTTCTCTCTCTCTCTCTCCCTCTCCCCTCTCTCTTTCTGTATCTCTTTCTCTCACCCACTTTCCCCCTCCCAGGCGCAGATCCAGAGGGACCTTGCCCCCCCCGCCAAAAAATAACTTGAGAGAGAAAGAGAAAGAAAAGGAAGAAGAAAAGAAAAGGGGGAGGTGCCGAAAGGGCCTTGCCTCCCAGGCTGTTGACTCAGCCCCCCCCCCCCCCCCCCTCCCCCAAGCGAGAAAAAAAGGAAGGGAAGGGGGAGAAAAGAAAGAGGAAGAAGAAAAGAAAAGAAGGGGATATCCCTTGCGATTTTCCCGCCAAACAACGTGTGGTTGCCTGCCCCCCCCCCCCCCCCCCAGCAAACTGAAATTCAAATTCAAATTCAAATTTTATTATTTTCAATCCTAACCAATAGGATTTTTCTCAACTTTTTTATACATTGGATAACGAATTTCAAAATTATAGTGTAACATAGATAATTTAGTGTCAGAGTAAAGCTAACGATAACCAGGAAACTCTCTTCTAAGATATAATACAGGGATGAAAATAAATTAGAGAGAAGGAAGGGAAGGGAAAGGGAAAGAGGAGTGAAAGATAACAAAGGAGGAATAAGAAGGGTAGGGGAGATCAGTTGCGATTTTTCCCGCCAACAAAGTGTTGATGAGGGGGGGGGGCCGAAAGGCCCTTGTCCCCCCCCCCCCCCAGCAAACAACGAGAGAGAGATAGAAGGAAGGGAATGGGAAGGGAATGGGAAGGGAAAAGGAGAGAAAGTAAAGGAAATAAAGAGGAAGAATAAAAGAAGGGAAGATCAGTTACGATTTGTATCTTCTATCATCATTGTACAAATGCATTTATTCATTTATTATGTTATTCCTGTTTGATAACAATGACATGAATATACACTCACAACAGCAACAAAACAAAATACAGAAGGAAAATATTTTGCAGGCAGAAAGAAACGCAAAATGAATGATCATACATTTGCATTAAAATTGCATCGTTAGAATTATTCATATTGTCTTGTGAAATTGAATTAAATTTGAATTAAATCTATTTATTCACGGTAAAACTCACATCAGCCTGAAAAAAACTGCTTTTCAGCAAGTCCGTGTAAAAAAACATAAAACAGATCATAAATACGTATACATAAATAAATATATAGGAAAAACTACTTAAATATGACATACATGTACTAAATAACAAGCTAGCGCATCAATTAAAAATAACAAGCATAAATATATATGATATAAAACGTTTCATATGCATCAATTAGGAAGAACAAAATTAAGTAAGAAGCTAATAAATGAATAAAACGGACATAGATATGTCTTATAAAAAGTGTGATTTTAAGCAATAGGCATAGGCAGTAGCGTTTTTTTTTTTTTTTTTTTAAATGGGGGGGGGGGGGGGGGTCATCAAAAATCACACACATAAAGAAATTGAGGGGGGGTTCAACTGATAAAGTAAACAACCAGTCTTTTTCATTCTGGTTCTTAATGGTATAATACACAACTTGTAATCATATTATAGTTATCATATTACAGGTCAATAAAGTCTACTTTGAGAAACTTAATACCGAGCTCGACATCTTTATTGTATCACGTACGACACTGTTTTCACACAAAAATATTGAGGCTGATCCTATTGAGAAATGTTTATTGATTGTATTAACAAATACAAAATGGTTATTGATTTACAGTATCTGGCCATCTCAGATACATAACGGCCTATTTGATATGATCGCTGAGGAATAATATATGAACTCTTACGGCTCCTGCAAGAGCCGACGCGTCGGGCCGACGTATGTTATTAAAAGTGATAAGGATTCACAAAACTCAGTGTTTAGGGCGGGTTTCGAGGGAGTGACACCTACAGAAACTTAACCTAATTCATTACCGAACAAAATTTGAATTTAGAAAATTTAGCCATTATAATGCTATGTACGGACTTAAAAATTTCAGAAAGTTTTTCGGGCGGGATCGAGTGAAGGCCTGGTGAAAGTCCTCCTCTTCCCACGTTCTATACAAAATGTGGGTGTTATGTTTCGATATAATGATAAGCGTGGGAAATGCTTTTGCGCACTCTTACCCCCCCCCCCCCCCCCAACGAGACCAAGCGCCAGATACGCCACTGGTCACCAGTATCGTACTGATGGCTGGGGGGGGGGGGGGCTTGCCCCCGAATACAATTCAAACGTGGTTTATTTTTAATTCGATACCAGTGAAATTACATAATTTTTCGGGATTTATCCTCACTTCTTTAGTAAATTAATCATTTGTAAGCGTTTGTTGGAATATGACAAATTCCCAAATCTACAGTCTAGCCTCTAGGCAAAAAAAATACTTATTTCGATGGCTTTGAAAGTCTATGTATGCGCATGATGTTCACACTGTAGCAGAAACGTGGTGCACATTTGAAAGGTTGTCAAAGTGGAGCAAGGAGTTCAATTTAGCTCACCACCGAGATCCGCGCGAATAATTGGTTGGTGATCTATAATACTAATATCAGTTTTCGGCAATCAGAGAACAGATCGATCCACGCCCCTTAATTGTTAACCTTGATCAAAATCCTAATTTAGAGCGCATACTGTGTGTTTTATCTCTAAAGTTAAAAAAAAAAGGGGGGGGGGGGAAGAGACATGCCCTATTGTGTCCCCCACCCTTAATATTATTATTATTATTATTATTATTATTATTATATTATTATTATTATTATTATTATTATTATTATTATTATTATTATTATTATTATTATTATTATTATTATTTATTTATTATTTTTTTTTTTGGGGGGGGGGGGCTTGTCCACCTGACCACCCCCGGATTGACACCTATGCTTGTTGCTACATGCATATCGGGCAAGCCTCGGGCAAGCTTTCAGATTGTCAAGAATAACCTTTTATTGGAAACGTACGCATACGCATGGATTTTAATGTGTAAACCGGTCTATTTAATTGTTGCTTGTTTTGTATAATAGCTATTTCCGTAGCCTCTATAATGTAATACATCAAACTCAATGCATACGAAGGTCTTTCATAGGCCATTTTCGTAATGTAACCAAATTTAATGCATAGGCCTACGTCTTTGTCCGGGGTCTTTGTGAAGTGCCTCAATACAATTTATTTCATTCACCTGATAAGAATAATAGTATTTCAATAGACCATTTTCGTAATGTAACCAAATTTAATGCACAAGTCTTTGTGAAGTGCCTCAATACAAATTATTTCATTCACCTGATAAGAATAATAGTAATTCAATAGTCAGAATGCAAACTGCATATTTCAAGTGTTGCTAGGTAGGTCAAGCCATAATGTTTGTCCTACCTGGCAACAACTAATGTATGCAGTTCGAATTCTGTCTATTGAAATACTATTATTCTTATCAGGTGAATGAAATAATTTGGATTGAGGCACTTTACAAAGACTTATGCATTAAATTTGGTTGCATTACGAAAATGGCCTATTCGAACTGCATACATTAGTTGCTGCCAGGTAGAACAACATTATGGCTTGACCTACCTAGCAACAATTAATATATGCAGTTTGCATTCTGACTATTGAAATACTATTATTCTGATCAGGTGAATGAAATAATTTGTATTGAGGCACTTCACAAAGTCTTATGCATTAAATTTATTAACATTCCGAAAATGGCCTATTATGAAGCGCCTCGTTACGAATTATTTCATTCATCTGTTCCCGGCACCTGTTACGAATAATTTTATTTCAAAAGTCAGAATGCGAATTGCAAACGTGTTTTTCGGTACTTGGCAAGCCCTAATGTAATTTGTCCTACCTAGCAACAATTAATGTAGGCACTTCACAAAGACGTATGTATGCATTAGATTTGGTTACATTACGAAAATGGTCGATTGCAGTAAAATGTCAGAGTAGAATCTATGCCTTCAGACTATGGATAGGTTATATTAATTATTAAAGCCCTTATAACTCGATTCTAATTTCCCGTCGCCCGCCCGCGTAATGATTTACCGCCCGTGTTTGCGATCGACTCAATCTGAAAATAGTTTTCTTTTTTTTAGACTTAAAAAAAAAACAAACTTTTGTTGGAGCGACTTGTGTATTACCGTTGTGTGTTTTGGGGGAAAATTCCATGAAGCATTGTTTTTTTAATACTCATGTACCTTTACAGCTCAGTTTATGTAAAGTATGTTGTTACTAAAGGGGAAAAAAGTCAGTCAGTCACTCAATAGTGCCTGACTGTGAAGTCTAGAAAGTAAACGGGTTTCCTTGCATAATTTGGATAATAAGACACTGCTAACGGTTAAATTTCACAGATAGGATATACATCATATGGCATATTCATAATTCCTGCAATGTTCTACAGAATTTGATGTTGGCTGCAAATGGGAGTATGGGACATAGTACTGTTCTATTTGGATTTATAGCATGTATATGTGTGGTTTATTTTTACAATATTGATGTTTGTATTAATAAAAATAAACAAGATATGCGTATAATGCGATGTTCATACATGCATTAATTAAGTTAACAAACTGGAAATACACAGGTTTAACCAACAAAGGTGAATTAAATGTTCGTAAAAAGGAAATAATGAATAATGAATAATTAAACAGTTGCCCCACTATGAGCTGAAAAAAATGTGACGGGAAACTCGCAATCAAGTTTCATTGGCCAAATGGGTGGGAGATAAGGTGTGGCCTTGCGGCTGCTGGAGTAAGTTTGTTCGAGGGTACGTAGGGATCGAGGAGTCGTAGCACGTGATGACCAGTCTGAATAGTCTCCCGATGGCCTAATATGGTACCAAACCGGCCAGATATCCAGATTCATTGTCATCCAATATTAGTAATGGGGTACAACATCTCAACGTGAACGTTAAAGACGATTCCAAAGTGGATTCAGGTTATGACTGGGATGCTGACATGATGAGAGGAATTACATCATTTACAAGCATTGTTGGATGACGGTAACAATCAATAATTTCAATACAGTCGATTGTGAAAAGTGATGTACTCGTGTTTGATCTTGAGTGTGTGCGATACCAGCAGGCGATTGTTTGTGCAGGAGGCCGGAGGGTGATGGTGATGGTGGCATGGTGTACGTGCAGCTTTTGGCTCCAGTACATGAAGACACGTTTAAATCGAATGCCGGATAGGAACCAAAAGTTTTGTTAAAGCCACACTATACTTGTAGCTACTTGCTCCCTCTATAGTATATAGAAAACTTCCCCAATCGGTGCCTGTTGGTCCACCATGATCCTCTTTTTCTTATGTTATTGATTGAGAGCTGAATTTTTAATGAGCTATGTAGCCACCTGTCAGTGTCAGTGACCTTGCTGGGTGGTCTAATCCCTTCTGGCTGAACTGGTACAGCCAGCCTTTAAAAACAAGTAGGGGCCTACTAACGGCTCATTTTGCCATTGGTTGGTTTGAAACTTTGAAAGAATTAAAAAACATGATTTGTTCATTTTTATTTATTTATATTAGTTATTATTTATTGATGAATATTAATTAAATATTTCATCTTCAGGGTTTCGCATATATTTCATGCCACGTTTGTTGCACAGAGGGTGGGATCCTGGATTAGCAACCCAAAGTTTTAGTGACAAATACTAACAAACCAAGTCCAAAAATAATTTGTTTATTTTTTAAATATTTATATTTTATTTTGATAGTGATTAATATTTACATTTCCTTGCATCAAGCATGGGCGTAAATCCTTACGTAATACCTATTGTTCAGGGGGGGGGGATGAATGAATAGATCATCCCCCCCCCCTGAACAATAGGTATCAATTGCAGATTTACGCCCATGGCATCAAGAGTAGGCCTAGATCCTCAATGCGGCCCTAATTTAATATTTGATAGAAGGACTTGGCATGGTTATTTGGCCCCCCCCCCAAGCAAAATCCCTGCCATTCTGTCATACCTACATGTAACATACATATATATATACACAAACAGAGCACTCTGATAAGTGCCCATTTTCATCTCTGATAAGTGCCTCTTCACCTCTGATAATTGCCTTATTCAAATCTGAGAGGTATCTTTTTTATTTTGACAAATGCCCCTTTTCCTTCGTAGAAAGTGCCCCTTCCACTTTTAATAACTACTCCCTTTTTAACTCGGATAAGCAAACCTTATATTTTCACATGAGCCCCTTTTCCTTTCTAATAAGTGCCCCTTTTCCTGATAAATGCCCCCATTAAAAAAAGAGCCCCTTTCCCATCTCATAAAAGCCCCTTTTCATTTCTGGTAAATGACTTTTTTCAGGTACAAGAAGTTACTCCAGAGTCCATTTCACTTTGATTAAGTGCCCCCTTTACCTTTGATAAATCCCCGTAATAAAATCTAATTGGTGCCCCTTTTCTTTCAACTAATGCACATTTTCCTTTATTATGCCCCTTTTTTATTCTCATAAGGGCCCCTTTTCATATCTGGTCATTTCCTCTTTTCAGGTGCGATAAGTGCCCCTTTTCACCTCTGATAATTTCCCTTTTAACAATGGTACATGCCCCTTTTCCTTTCTAAAAAGGGACCTATCCCCTTTTCATAAATGCCCCTTTTCACCTCTTATAAATGCCCCTATCAATATCTGATGGGTGCCCCTTTTCTGTTGGCAAATGCCCATTTCCTAATCTTGGTGCCTTTTTTCATCCCTAGTGAGCGCCGCATTTTAAAGGTGTAAGAAGTGCCCCATTTTCACCCCTGATAATTACTCTTTGTACTTTGACACATGCTTCTTTTTTCTGATAAGTGTCATCTTTTCCTCTCACCATCAAATGCGCCCCTAATTTCAAGTGTACTACCGTATTTGCCGGCGTAAAGGCCGCAGTATTTTTGGAAGAGAAAATATCAAAAAGTTGGGGTGCGGCCTTTACGACGAAAGAGTAAAAAAAAAAAAAAAGTCAAAACCAGCACGAATTTGCACGTATGGGACTAGATCTACTAACGGTACAATAACTAGATTGTACAAGACATTTAAACACATCTTACCGACAGTTTTATCTTGCATTGTTGACATGAATACGAAAATAAATTGCTAAACCAACATTTACCGATAGATCTTGATCTAAGTTCGTGCCAATGCATTGCAAAAGTAAAGGAAGGGACCATTTAACGAAGCTGCCGCGAAGCATCCATTCAAAGTCGCCATTTTGTTTTTCCATTTCATGCAGTTTCGCATTACACCGTACATTGTGGTAGGGGTATCGGACACCAAATCTGCCCGCGATCACTTTTTGAGCTAAACTTCCGGTAAATTATAAGAATATTGATGAATTTGGTATCAGTTTGTAAAAAAAAATAGTGTTTTACAAGAAAATTACGATTATTTTGTTTTGTCCGTTGGGTTTTTTTTTTTTTTTTTTTTTTTTTTCCTCTTTGAAATGTCCAAGTTGGGGGTGCGGCCTATGCGGCGGTGCGGCCTTATCGCCGGCAAATACGGTAATTACCCTTTTGCTTCATCAGACAACTTGGATCAAGAAAAATCACCTAGAAAGTAACATGTAGAAATGTGATGACCTTTTTATTTGCTTGTCAAAGGTTTTATAAGCTTCACACTTGTCTCCTCCCCCTTCCCCACTGAAAGAGAATCGTTGATTTGTTTGTGTGTATAGTCGCCCGATTAGAATCTGAGAATAATTGTTTTAATTTTAACACCTAGCCTAGAAGTAATCAGTAAGTTGATAATAATGATACTAGTGATCAGTGGCATACGCAGGATTTTTCAAGGGGGGTGTTTAGAAATTGGATGGCATCATTAATGTGACCCCGCAAGGTAGCGAAGGAACTGAACAGAAGAGGGTGTTGGAGGGGGTTATTCACGTCTCGAATTTCGATATCCTAGCTTTAAAAAACCTCAGTTTTTCCTGCATGTTTTGTTCTTCAAGATTTAACAATCACCTCTCACCATGGACGAGAGCCTGGCAGAGCGACTTTAAAAGTGGGGGGGGGGGGGGGGAAGGGCACCAACAAAAAAGGGCACTTTCTGGAAAAAAAAGGGGGGGGGGCACGCACAAAGGGAAACCTCAAAGCAAAAATATACAATTTATAGACATTTTTAGGCCATATGATACCCCTACATTGTGATTAGATTATCAGGGATGATTTCATTGTTTGTTTTTCTCTGCACATGGTCCAAGATACTGCTTAACCCTTACTGTCTCGACATTTTCGGAGATTGCGCCGCAACCGCTTGGAATTTTGAATTGTCGTTTCATGACTTTTTTCCCTCAAGTCTTACGCACATTTTGATACCATTTTCGTTGAAATTGGATATACCTGTAAGGTGTTACATAACAATTAGTATGCGCATGTCATTAAAAAGTGCTATAATTGCATATATATTCATGTACAAGCAGAAATGTGAATACAGGTTTAGATTAGGACGATGTATTTCTTCCTAAGTGGGAGATATGAATTGATATCAAATTGCTTTTATATGTTTCTCAAAGTAACTTGATGTATTCACGAACAAAAGAATACATTAGAAATAAAACAACAATAAAATACATAAGAAAATAAAATGATGAATTTCGAACTTTTTTTCTTCAGAAAAACATTTTGAGATGAAGGAAACATTTATTCAATACATTTTCAAGATTATTCACAAGTCTACAGACAAATATGTTTTCTGTAAAATGCATAAAATTAGCATTTTGCATAAGTAATTAGGCTATGACGACAAAAATTTGCTTAGTAGGAAAAAACTAATTATACCATCTTGTTCCTGACGTAAATATCTACAAACATGCACATTTTTGTGTCCTTCGGACATTCAATGGCCGAGATCATAGTGGGGGGGGGGGCCTCCTTGCCCCCCCCCCCCAGTCAGTGAGGTGCTCAAAATAGCTCAGTACAGTAAGGGTTAAGCATCATACTTTGCAGTTGAGTCTGATGGTCTGAATATTTAATTTAAGATTTCAATTTTTTAATTTGTGAAGTCGCAAAGCGAAAAATTACATCTTATAAAGAGGGAGGAAAAATCCTAATCATGAAAGACTTAAAAGATCTTTATATAAGAAACAAAATCATAATAACTTAAAATGCAAGCGTAGTGAGCGAGCTTTGGGTGAAATGAAAGAAAAAGATGCTCTTAGTCGCTTTAAATTAAGAGTACATTTTAGGGTGAGAAGAAAAGGGGGCCCATATCCAAAGGGAAAAGGACACTTACTTAAAGAATTTACAAAATAAGCCATAACAAGTTTTGGGGAAGGATATTCGTGTGCATGTTGATAACGTCGGTCGATAACAGCACAGGAATCAACAACCCTCCCCTCACTATACCAACCTCAATTAGCTCATTGATTTATGAATTGATGTGAATATAGAGGGTGAATGTTGATGATGATGATGATGATGATGATGATGATGGTGACGACAAAAATGTTGAAGTTAATCATGATGAGGAAAGTTATGATAATAATCTTGATTAAATTAATATTATGATGATGCTGGTAACAAAGATAGAATGGGATGATTAATGACGATAATGAAGACATTTGATTGAGATTATGAAATGAGGACATTTTATTTGTAATAGGAAGACTAGTTTGTAGGGATTTATTTTGAACTCTTAAACTCCCCTTCATATCCATGATTCATCCCTTTCATTATCCCTCATTCACATTCACCCTTTTCATCCACTTTCCTTTCATATATCTATCTCTCTCTCTCTCTCTCTCTGATTGGTTCAATGTTCACCTGATGCAGTTAAGCTTAAAGTATAATTTACATATACTATGAATATTTAATATATACCCTTTGTTTATTGTTTATGTTTGAATATTCAAGATACTTTGTGATGTTGATTTATACTTGTATGTGACTTTATGAATATTAATTTGTTTCTTCTACTTTGCATGGAATGTATGTGGAATGCTACACAGAATGCAGTAATGTTTTTATACATTAAAACCTGGTCAGTTAGCCAGTAGTTATCAATCCTACAACATATCTGCTGGGCTGCCTCTGTGTTAAGAGTGCTAGGAATTATCTGTTAGAACTGCAACCCTATTATTAAGCAGGTGAAGGGCTAAGGAGCCCTCATTTAGCCCCCTGAGCCCCTCCCATTCTTTGCTTCTTGATTATGTCAAATAATCGATGATTTCTCGATGAAGGAGGGGGGGGGGGGGAGACATTTCCTCATTCAAAGGCCATCTCCGGCCTTCCTACATACATAGGTCACAGGCCCGTAACAAATAGAATTTTACTAGGGGTGCAGACATTACATGAGGCGGACTAGAAAAGTTTAAAGATTTGTGAGATCGCATTAAAGGCATCGTTTAACAACGTTCAATCTGAGATGCATGGCCCTAGAGCATGGCCCGAGCATTCACATCAAACAATGAAGAAAAAAATTTAGAAAGTTGAATATGTTGTGACTAAAAGGAATGCCTGTATGTAGTAATCTAAATGTAAACATTATATTGAGGAACCGAACAACATTACAAGCATATATCAATTAAAGAAATCTAGAACTTGCTCATTTAAGAATGTGTGCTACAATGATTATCTCATAAAAACAGTACAGGCCTAATAAGATTAATAAATGACCACTCAGTTTTTCTCTTCTCCTTGCAGTCTATTATGGAGTATCCACAAGACAACGGGCCGCCTGCCGCCGTAGGTCAATGTGAACGTGGGGCCGTGGGCGCTGGTAGCGCACTGGTGCCTGTGTAGGACAAGGGCCGGGGAGAGGTGTAAGTGGAAGACGAGACACCTCTCCCGCGTGTGCTACCAGCATCGAGATGTTTACACGGCGGAAGAGTGAGTACTCAAACAATAGGGTCGGACAAAACTATATAACCCAATAGGGGGTTTCTCAACAGCGATACAAGATTTTAAAAGTAGTCAACAGATCTTGATGGAAATTGTATGGAATTGTTGGTTGAATATATCCCCTAATCTTCATGTACATTTCAGAACTACAAGTTAAGATTGTTTTTTAAGGCTTTATTACAAACAACATCCAAGGAGAATAAGCGTATCTGTACCCTAAACATGTTGTGGCAAGTTGTCACAAGAATTCTCCTGCTTTACTAGAAAAAAGGGGTCATATCAAATAATTTTAGGGCATGGGAACGGTCCATTCTATTTTAAGCGATAGATTTTCAGAATTATTTGTTTTCTTCAGAAAATCGTAGAATTCATATTTAGTGTTTGTTGATTAAATCTTAATAATATATATTTGAACAGTTGAAAATGTAAAACATTATTTACTAAAAAAATAAAAAAATACTTGGTTTTGTTTCCTACATCACAGCTTGCGTTATAAGGATGAAAACTTCCTAAGTTGATGAAGTAATTACAGTTTCATGAAAATCTTTTTGAATATTTACTTTAAAAAAATTAGTTATTCATATGTTTTTGTTTTATCATACCGAAGGTGGCTTAGTCACTGTTATCCTTTAGGGCCCTGTGCATATAAATATGAAATTCAACACAATACATGAATGAGAAAATGAAACAACAACAAAATGTAACATTTCCATAAAAAAAACATTACAAAAGTATAATAAGAGCAAGTAATACGGACCAACAACGTTTGCAAAGTTTGTCATATAAATGTATCAATAAAAGTATGGGAAGAAGAAATTTAAGTTGACTTAATAATTTTGTACTTTTGAATGAGAGCGGTGTCAAATGATGTCATATGATCAACAGCACAAGGTGGAAGTTTATTATATAGCTCCCTCTCAAGGTCATGATATTAATTAAGCTATAAAACAATGTTTCTTGACTAAAATCGATTGATTAGCTATTTCCGTTTGGAAATTATATATCACAACTACATATTCTGAGATTTTCATGGTCAAGATATTAATTAAGCTATAAAACAATGTTTCTTGACTAAATCAATTGATTAGCTGTTTCCGTTTGGACATTTTATCACAACTACATATTCTGAGATTTTCATGGTCTTAGCTATTGTACGGCCGTAGGCGCTATTTGAAATTTATCAAAATCTACCGGGAGCACCGGTAAATTTTTATATTTAATTTTTCTTGAAAGCGGAAATGTTTTAGGGGCTAAATTTTATAGTGCTTATAATACATCCACAGAGGCATCCAAATATATCAAAATTGTAAAGAATCACTATCCACCCATGTTTCTTATCAAGAGAGTTTTTCAGCTTATACATGTATTTTGAAATATTTTGAAATCTGAATGATCAGTTTAATAATTTCACAGACATATTGGCTGCAAATACACTTTCACCTCATTTGGTCTCTTTTATGTACATCATTTAGATTTTAGGAACAGAGTGTCAATTATTTCTTGATGCATAAGTCAAGAGATCACAGGAATATGAATTACCAATGCAGTGATTACAAAATGAACATATACCAAACAACCATTTAGCAAACTAATTAGAAATTGTTCAAAGAATTATTAAAGAGCAATTCCATATATTACATTTACTAGAAAGATATGATATGATTTTTGTATAGGCACACTTTGATAATAATATATATTCCATAACTTATTTTTGTATTTCGATATTTCATGTTATCATTGTGAACAGATTACTGAAATATAACTGAAATATTTTAGTCATTCATTTGTCTTGATCATTCGATTAAGTATATTAAGTGTATTAACTATATCTTACATGTATTTTCATCATACTAGGATTATACAGATGATAAATCGCCGACGCCCACGCTGCCAGGCTATGACCCTTAAAGGGCTACGGTGCTCAAGAGATTCAACAAGGCAGTTTGTTCTGCATTATTGCACACAGCATTGTAAGTATATTGCATAAAATGGAAGTAGAATCATTGCCAATAAGAAAGTTTGTATTTTGCACAACTTCAGTATATTCTGATGATCTAATTATTGACAACATACAATGGTATGCACTTCTTGACATTTCAAGTTTCAAGTTTTATTGGTCCACATTTTACAGAAAATATAGACATACATATGAAATACAAAATTATACAATACAACTATAGTATAAATAACCACATCTCAATGATTCTCAATTCATAGAATGTGAGGAACCTATTGAAGCATAGCTGAGGAATGGAAAGAGTCCCTCAGGAATAGCAGGAGGGCTAGGAGAGAAAGTACATCGTTATCGAAGGTAAGTGCTTATTTGAGAAGAGTAAGGATCATGAAAAGTGGTAGTAAATGACATATCTATATCAGTGCATCAAAAATTGATTAGTTTTAGATTGATTGAGAGCTCGTCATGTGACCAGAAATATTTTAACCATTTTAAGGTTGCTCTGAAAAGGTACTAATTGGAAAATACTATTAGGGAGTTGAAATTTTTTGTTGTTGGTAATTTTTTAATTTTTAATTTAAACATTTCATCAAAATGTTTACATTTCTAAACTTGTATAAATTTGTTTAAATAAAAAAAGAAGTTAAAATGTTAGAAATTATAATTTTAACAATTTTTCTTTTCTTCTTAAATACATTTTGTTGCTGTTTATACAGGATTTAAAAAACAAAAATAATATACCCTAGCTGTCTTCTTTTCAAGGTACTGGTTAAAACTATGGGCCTCAGTGACTATTTTCTTTGGCCATAGTTTTAACCAGAACTTATCAGAACAGTGTATATTTGTATTATATCTATAATAGTGTCTATCTATCTATCTAGCATTGCACAGTAATTCATCAAATATACATAAATCATATCTTGAGCATTGAGTAGTAACAGTAATTAAGTAAATTTACACATTTTATATTCTAATAAGTTAAAAGAATGAAAGGACATTGTTGAAGCATACCAAAATCCTTACTCTATGGTTAAATTATCATAATAAAGTTATAGCCATGTTCAGACAGGGGCTTCCTAGTCTGCGTAAGTTAATCCCTGCAGCAGTAAATATCCCATAAATATTTGACTTACACCATTAGTTGACCATATCCTCTTACTCGGACCAGCTTGCCTCGATTAAGGTAATACGACCTTCCACTGACCCAGTCTTACTCAGCGTATCTTCTAGTAGTCAGGGGCGGATCCAGGAAGTTCCAAAGGGCGGGGGGGGGGGGGGGGGGGGGGCTTCCATGCAAATTTTTCTCCGTCAGGGGAAGAAAAAAAATCTTTGTCAAATGGCAAGAGTGTCCTTCTAGAGCCAAAATTGCCCAATGTGGTAATATACAGTGCCCTGTCATGGTCAAAAAATTATTCTTCAATTCCAGCAAAGTGCCCCTCTGAAGCCAATATTGTGTTTTTTTCAAGTTGCCTCGTTAGGGGTGAAATATGCATAATCAAGGGGGCAAAAGGGCCCTTTTAGAGCCAAAATTGCTCTTTTTGATTACTAAAAGGGAGGGTTGAGTTCTGGGAAGGGTAAGAAAGTTCTAATAATCTAATTGAGAAATTTGATTAAAGTATTATAACATAAACAAACTTAGGATGAATTGTTTTGAAGGGGTCTATCAAATAGTGTAATTTTTAGCCACATAATACGCTTTCAAGGTGGTCCCTTATCATTACACATTATACTATTATCTTTTTTATTTTTTATTGTGATAAAACACAGCAGTAAATCACAATTTTCCCAAAAATTTATATTGATTAATCTTGTGTCATTACAAATAGGTTGGAAGATAAAATGGACAATTTCCTGACCCTTTCCAGAACTCAATACCTCCCCCCTAAAGGAAAGTAAATAAATGATTTTGATGAACAAGGCTCAAGCAAAGACCAAGGTCTTTGAACCCACATCGGTTTGTGCAGACGCAGAATAACTTTGCGTCATGAAATAATTTATTTTAATTTTCTTTTTTTAATACGAATAAACACGCTAACTGGTTTATTCAGGTATCCTTTGGAACTTCTTATCCAATCAATGCTAATTCTTTAAAAAATGTGATTTTTTGTTTGTTTTGTTTGCATTTTAATTTGTTCAGCGGGAATTCCAGGTATCTCTCTCTCTCTGTTAGGGGGCATTTATCCCCCAAACCCCCCCCCCCCTGTACGTGCATGCTTGCTAGCTTGGCTGGTGGATGTACCAAAATAAATACCTACAAAGTCACACAGTTTTTATAATCATTGTAGGCTGTCATTCATCTCCCTATTACCCATCTCTCTCTCTCCCTCTCTCTGTTTGTCTGTCTCTCTATCTTTATCTCTCTCTCTCCCTCTCTCTCTCTCTCTCTCCCTCTCTCTGTTTGTCTGTCTCTCTATCTTTATCTCTCTCTCTCATTCTCTCTACCTTGCTTCATCTTTCTCCTACTGCCTCCACATCTCTTTCATCAATGGGTACCCATCAATTTTCTTTGAAGATGTCTATTCATCTACCTGGACATCTACCTTGCAGATAACCTCCTCCTCCTTACTGAGCAGTTCATCTCACAACATTCAAGAGAAGCCCGCCAGCCAAACAGACTCATCATCCCTGTTCAGCTCATCTCACAAGCAAACGACATTCAAGAGAAGCCCGCCAGCCAAACGGACCCATCATCCCCGTTCAGCTCATCTCACAAGCAAACGACATTCAAGAGAAGCCCGCCAGCCAAACGGACCCATCATCCCCGTTCAGCTCATCTCACAAGCAAACGACATTCAAGAGAAGCCCGCCAGCCAAACAGACCCATCATCCCCGTTCAGCTCATGTCACAAGCAAACAACATTCAAGAGTAGCCCGGCAGCCAAACAGACTCATCATCCCCGTTCAGTTCATCTCACAAGCAAACAACATTCAAGAGTAGCCCGGCAGCCAAACAGACTCATCATCCCCGTTCAGTTCATCTCACAAGCAAACAACATTCAAGAGTAGCCCGGCAGCCAAACAGACTCATCATCCCTGTTCAGTTCATCTCACAAGCAAACAACATTCAAGAGAAGCCCGCCAGCCAAACAGACTCATCATCCCGTTCAGTTCATCTCACAAGCAAACAACATTCAAAAGAAGTCCGCCAGCCAAACAGACTCATCATCCCTGTTCAGTTCATCTCACAAGCAAACAACATTCAAGAGAAGCCCGCCAGCCAAACAGACTCCTCATCCCCGTTCAGTTCATCTCACAAGCAAACAACATTCAAGAGTAGCCCGGCAGCCAAACAGACTCATCATCCCGTTCAGTTCATTTCACAAGCAAACAACATTCAAGAGTAGCCTGCCAGCCAAACAGACTCATCATCCCTGTTCAGTTCATCTCACAAGCAAACAACATTCAAGAGAAGTCCGCCAGCCAAACAGACTCCTCATCCCCGTTCAGCTCATCTCACAAGCGAACGACATTCAAGAGTAGCCTGCCAGCCAAACAGACTCCTCATCCCCGTTCAGTTCATCTCACAAGCAAACAACATTCAAGAGAAGCCCGCCAGCCAAACAGACTCATCATCCCTGTTCAGCTCATCTCACAAGCAAACGACATTAAAGAGAAGCCCGCCAGCCAAACAAACTCATCATCCCCGTTCAGTTCATCTCACAAGCAAACGACATTCAAGAGAAGCCTGCCAGCCAAACAAACTCATCATCCCCGTTCAGTTCATCTCACAAGCAAACGACATTCAAGAGAAGCCCGCCAGCCAAACAGACTCATCATCCCCGTTCAGCTCATGTCACAAGCAAACAACATTCAAGAGAAGCCTGCCAGCCAAACAGACTCATCATCCCCGTTCAGCTCATCTCACAAGCAAACAACATTCAAGAGAAGCCCGCCAGCCAAACAGACTCATCATCCCCATTCAGCTCATGTCACAAGCAAACAACATTCAAGAGAAGCCCGCCAGCCAAACAGACTCATCATCCCCGTTCAGCTCATCTCACAAGCAAACGACATTCAATAGAAGCCCGCCAGCCAAACAGACTCATCATCCCCGTTCAACTCATGTCACAAGGAAACGACATTCAAGAGAAGCCCGCCAGCCAAACAGACTCATTATCCTGTTCAGTTCATCTCACAAGCAAACGACATTCAAGAGAAGCCCGCCAGCCAAACAAACTCATCATCCCCGTTCAGTTCATGTCACAAGGAAACGACATTCAAGAGAAGCCCGCCAGCCAAACAGACTCATTATCCCCGTTCAGCTCATCTCACAAGCAAACATCTGACAATGTAAGGACTGCAAGCTAGCTCCACTAAGTGGTTCAAGAAAAGCACATTTACCAAGGACATGACAGAGAGAAAAGCAGAGGAGAAGAAGGTAAGAACATCACACCGAATTTGAAATAAGGAAACAATTTAAGCAACAAAACAAAACACAAAACAAAACGAAGCAATGAAGACACTTATTTTGTAATCAGTCTTCACTGCAATTTATTTTCTCATATGGACATGTAGCACTTTGTGATTACAATTAAGATTGCATGCTGTCTTAATAATAATAATAGACATTTCTACAGCGCCATCTATCTAGACAATTCTATTCCGAGGCACAGAACTGTTACATTATTATTTTCACTTAGATATAAAGCTAATCTATCAGTTTTTCAAATATAAAAAGTGTCGTGGCATGGCCGACATTTAAATCTGGACCATCATCGTCAGCATATGACCTCATTAGAGAGAATTTTGTTGGGCTGACAGACTTTTGATGTAATGTTACTTTGAACTCAAATAAGTATAATTATAAGTACATTATTTCTTGTCTGCATCAGGAAATCTGATTTCCACTGGTTGGTATGTACAAGTAATGCAATATAAACATACACGTAAAGAGACAAAATACATACATAACATACCAAAATAACTGAAAAATACTGATGTTACAAGTACATGTAAATGCCTTTCATGATCGATACTGGCATATATGAAGTTAAACAGTTAATCCACATGTTCCAACAATAACTTTGCTATGTCTATGAGCCTGGGAAATGATAACAAAGACTATATAGATTATAATTTTTAAATCATGCTGATGTTTATGAGCGGGAAGGTTCATGGCACCAGAGCATCAATCAGTCTAAGGCTTGCACAGTCTATATGGTGATTCTTTTTCTCAATTTGTTTAGAATGATGTTATAATTCCAACTCTTTAATGGCTTCTTGTATATGGCTCATGTCTGCTATGGAGTGGTCCTCCAATATCATTTTGGTTTTAATTAGGTTACAATTATAACCTAATTGCATAGTTTAGGGCTGAAACAGCCTTGTTTGAAGATAAACCATTGTAGTCTCTAGTATCTATGCTATTAGCCTTTTATCTGCTATGTCAGTGATGCCTGTAGTCAGTCTGTAATGACTCATTTCTGCTATGTAGTGGTGCTTATATCCACAACATAGGCTGACCCATTGTCAGCTATACTTTCATCAGCCTTGTAGTTGTGCATGTATCTGCTAGGTAACGGTACATATATCCGCCACATAGTGGTACCCTTTTTGCTACGGAGTGGTACATATATCCGCCACGTAGTGGGGCCCATTTCTCCTGTGCACTGGTGCTGACATCTGCCATGCAGTTTAGACTATTTTCCCAATAAAGTGGTGCCGACATCAGCCATATTGTGAAACCATTTATTTCTGCCAAACTGTGGTGCCTAAATTATATGCCAAGTAGTAATTAGGTCCATATCTTGGCCCTTTTTAGATTCTGTTATGCATATATATCATATAGACTGTACAGCTCAGACATTGATGCTATTTATCTTTCATTGTAAGACTTATACCACAATTCACGAAGTTTGAACACTGATAACGGGCAGTCCATTTTCTCAACAATAAACTTAAGTAAATGGCCTACCATATAGCACCCCTCACCCAAACTTGTTTTCTCTTAAATAGCAAGCCTGGTTACTCTAGTCTTTGGCTATCATCTCCTTAGGCTCATAGTACACAGGCTCATACACTGCCTTAGAACATAGGGTTAATGTAACAGGCTCACTTTGAATCATCGGGTCATTGTGGCAGCGTTACCAGACCTTTTGTGAAAACATGCCCCTTTATTCACGAAATGTCGGGAGTAATATGATTACAAAATAAACCCCTCTCATCTTCAAATAGTCTGGTCCAATTTGCCAGACACTTTGTGAAAACCGTAAGGCAAATCTACGAAAGGTTGGATGATCTTCCGTTTTAGTTTCGTGTAAAGGTCGTGTAAAGCGACCACCCAACCGGACTTGATGATTTGAAGTAAGCTGATGTAACATGTATGTTGAATACCTCAGTCACACTGATGATAGACCAATAACAGACGAATTTGCCAAGAATTGTTTCGTTTTGAGTCAGTTTTGTGAAATGACAGAGGTATAGCATTTAATAACAGCTTTTGTGTAGCAATTTCATTTGCCTAAGGATCATACAGTTTTACTTGAGGTAGAGACAGTGGTGTAGCATTGGCCCAGCCGTTTAGGGGGCACTGTTATTATGGAGGAGGGCGGAACCTGTACTAATAGGTGAATTGAATGTGAATTTGTAAGATCTCAGAATTAGGGGATGATATTAATTAAGGGATTAATATAATTTTTGTTTTAACCTCCCTATTCCATCTCCCTTTATTTATGTCTTTTTTCCTCTTCCATTTTGTCTTGTTTTCCACCATTTGATTGGGAGACGTACATTGTGTCCCTTTGTAGCTACACCACTGCTCAGGGAATGTAGCATACACGTATATAGAGTGGAGCTCACCAAGAGCAAACCATAGAAAGTACTAGACCATCATATGAGAACATTTACCTCAGGTAATTTAATGCTTTTAAACTGAAATATAGATTTCAGTTGATAACCAAGTGATAACGGAAGACAGAAACTGAAAATGAATGAGCAACTCCAGTTTCTCATTGCTTTTTATGGTAGACCAGACCCTAGCTACAACAAACTTAAAATTTCCTAATCAGTGCTGGGAAAAAAAATGTAGAGCACTTAGTGAAATTTAATTATACCATGACTGAAGTCTAGACCAGTTAATCAATCAACAATTTTGGATAATCAAGATCAGTCAAGTACCAATATATGTACAAGTTTGATACAAGTCACATTGCATGCTTTAAATTGAATACATTTTAATAAGTTGTCAGCGAATTTGTAGTTAAAGATGAAGTTGAGTTCTGTTCATGCGATTGCATTGTGAAAGAAACGGTGTGGAATCGACCAGATCATCTAGCATATAGGAATTTGTGTGTATTGCAAGGTTCTGGAATCATCAAAATGATAAGAAATTTGGTCAAGTCTTGGTAAAGTTATAAACAATGTACACAGAAAGATGTATATGGGACTACACGACCACGTGGCGTAAAAATCCGGGTAGGATTTTTACGATGTTACATGACATATTTAGAATATGAAGGCATTTGAAGAGCCATGCCCTTCAGGGAACATGTCTTATCTGATGTTCCTCCACACTTGCATAATAATAATGATAACGCTCACAAATTGTTTTTCACCTCTTCCCAGAACTCAACCTTCTCTTTAAGACGGCTTTGTGAAACGCTTCCTATACATGTATACAGTATGAATTTCGACTTAAATGTATAAAGCAGTTCACAAATGCAGAACCCTGCCCTAACCACAGGCCTGATAGTCACAAATAATTGCATTCACCTGTCTTCAAGAATTTAATTACAAAAGTCTGAATCTGTTTACATGTTGCTGCTTTGTGAGCCACGTTACTGACAAGTTTGGAGTCTGTCACTCAGAATGTTACAGAATTACAACT